GTGTGTGTGTGTGTGTGTGTGTGTGTGTGTGTGTGTGTGTGTGTGTGTGTGTGTGTGTGTGTATTTGTCATGTCAACAAAATATAAAGTGGAAATATTTTAATGAAACTTGTCAGAAAGTAATTATCAAATGTACATCTACAACTGCTGAACTTTTATACTCGATCCTTTTAAGATGGCTGCCACCGCTAAGTGACCTCAGCAAATATATAAATAGCTACACATCAATCTAGTTTGTAGATAGTTCACTAGAATTTGGTGTGGTAGTAGTTGAGACTAATGTAGGACACATAATCTAAGCAGTATATATTGTACTATGTTTTTGCTTTAAAAATGACAATAGCTGTGGTTGTGAACCCAGTTTTTCTGTTCACAGGATGAAGCAGTGGACAAATTTTATTTAAACTCCCAGAGTTTAATAATGGAATTTACTATACCCCAATTCAATCCATCCTTCCATKATATTTTACCTGTGTCTTCCTTTTAGGGTCAAGGGGGGCCACCTTTGCCCAGAAGTCACCGTGCGAAGGAAGGGATACACCCTGGCAAAGTTGCAAGTCCATCACAGGGACATATAGAGTCAAACGAGACAACCAGTCCCACTCTCACTCACACCTAGGGACATTTTAGAGTTACCAATTATCCAAAAACGCATTATTTCCCCCTCKCTGTGGTGTGGAAACCGGAGAGCCCAAAGAAAACCCATGCATGCATGGAGAAMACATGCTAACTCTACCCAGAAAGGTACCMGYTMGGAATTCAATCCGGCAACCTTCTTTCTGGGAGGCAACAGCTCTACCAACTGAGCCACCGTGCCRTGGGTGGCACAGTTGTAATACAGTCAAAGTTCAAGCTGTTGAGCAAAGGTTTGATGTGGTAGTAGCCAAGCGTTATCCTCTGAGCAATGCCAGATGTTGTGAAAACCCACAATACTGCACGAGACTGCACATATCTTTCACAAGATTTAGTGAAGTGGCTGTCATCCCTCATCAAATCTTTYTTTAACAATCTGGCATAAAAGGTGGGCAATATTCAGTTCCTCAAGGAAAGATGGTCCATTTTTATATTTATTTTTTTCCAGTGGTTTGGGTACAAAGCTAAGTTCTCTGTGTAAATTTTGGCAACTTTGCTAATTCACATTTCTGTGCAAATAATCGAGTTTGTGTAAACGATCATGCTGCACAGCTAATTGCTCTCTCTGTGGCCTCCTCTTTTGGGAGGTGTCACTAAGGTCACCTCATGAGAAATGCCTTGAATATGAATTTGAACCCCATCTCAAGTTTTCACATCTCAGCATTATTGATTATTGAGATTCATWGCAAACTTTCACCTTGAGATTCAATAAAATAGCCAAGGTAAAGCTCTCTTACCCACACACACAAGTATTTGTGCTACATAAAATATTTAGCAGTTCTACTTGCAACCTCAATTTTCCTTGGGCTTCAGTTTAAACTGTTTAGATGCTACAAAACCATAAATTATTGTTAGTTCTATTAAATGTAGATTTCTTACAACGTGTCCTTTATTTCATTTCTTTTTACTTGCTCTTTTTCAGTGTGTTCCACCGCTTTTATCAGACTCCGGCAAGCAGCCCTAAAAGCATTACAAAAATTCACTTAACATTTTCTCTATTTCTGGTTTTTTTTTTTTTTTGCTTAGACGAATGCGCGTGCACACCCACACACACGCACACACAACAAAGTCAAGGTCCATCCTGTAAATATTCAACATGCACGCAACTCTTCATATTCAGTGTGCACACCCTCTCAATATTCACCAGCCTTGGCCATCGATGGCTGACAGTTTATGTTCTATTCAATGAATACTGGATTTAGTGAAAAGGTTTCAGGAGCTATGAAAAAGCACTGACTCACAAAACACAAAGAACAAAAAAAAAAAAAAAGAAAGAAAAGGGGGGCAGCAAATTTTAGACTTAAAATTCAAACTGCAAAATGGCCTGCAAAGCAAGCCTAACTAACAAACCTGACGAGTGGTTTTATTATGTACCCACTCAGTGTGCTAAACTACTAAGTGTAGGACAAAGGGGTTTTATTACATGTAGATGGAGGAGACGGCTTAAAAGGCAACATGAAGGGGCTGCAGTCTGGGGCTTGAGCACAAGTGGCCTGCTCAAGGTAAATACTGCCATCTATTGACCGAATTGGAGAGCACTTTCTTTTGTCTCGACAAAGGGGCAGCCACCACCACGTCCGGGTTTAACCAGTTCAACCCTTCCTTTTCTGCTGCTGGAACACATTCCCTGCCTCTCCTCTGTGGCTGAGTTCTTTGTTTTTTTTTGCTCACATTGAATTTGACAAAAATCAAAATTCACTCTCGCATATTTTTGTAAATTCTCCTTCTTTTGTCATCTTTTGGATCATGTGATGCACCGTGTACGTCAAGCAGTCTGACCTCCATCTGCCAACTGAGACTTGTTGGTTAAATCCTATGAATATGAATGCATTTTCCTTTTTTTCCCTTTTTTTTTGTTATTTTATTTTATTTTTTTGTACCAGTTGAATTTGGGGTAGCGAAAGGAATTCTAACCATTGTTGTTTGGACTGAACTGTTGAACTTTATGTCACACTTTCCCTCCTCTGTCTGTCATCCCTCTGTCTCCTGCTCAGTGGAGGAGTTGGCAGCAYGTACAGAGAAGGCAAGGCGGTTGGAGGGGCACCTGGAAGAGGGAGAGCTATCAGAGGGGAAAATAAGGTAGGAATAAAAGAAAAAGCAAAGAAAGAGGAAGAGGAGAAGCATCCTCTCCAGTCCCCCATGTATGCTCAGTAATCAAAAACATTTAGATGTTTTATGGGCRGAGAACAGTAGGCTTTCTAACGGAGCATGTGTTGAACAGAACAGCCCTCTGTAAATTCACATTGACTTTTTCGTTAATGAATTTCTGAACAAATCCACTAAGAAGCACTTTAATTCTTCCTATTTTTTTCATCTGTCCCTCGACTAATTTTGCATATTGTTAAARTGCGTCGTGAAAACAGATGTTAGGACACAAAGCTCAGAGCCAGGACCCCTGGTTGACCCCCTTTATGTGTTTCCAGAGCTGCGGTGATGACATCAGCAAGCATGTTTCACCCAGTAKATGTGTGTTTTTCTGAGTCTGTTTGTGCTCGCATAGTTGTGGTTGTGGCTCCAACGTGACCTCGCCACAACCGTCTCTGTCTCAGGGAGTTTCGGTTGAGCTGAGAGATGGAACATTTTCATCTTCAACCAACAATTTAAATACAAAAAGAAAAAGAAAAAAAGCCTTGGTTTGTAGACATTACGGGCCTCGTTCTGAATTCTTGCATTTGATTAAATTTCAACCAGTTTTAGGTACTGGTTGGTAAAACAATGTCTGTGTCTGGATATTAGATCCATTTGCAGAATCATTCTGTTTACTGTTAACCCAGTATTATCTAATAACTGCAAAGACATGAAAGGTTTTTAAGCAACAACACCATGCTAATGGCTTCCATCTGTGCTGAGGGAAATCCCCTTCTTTCTCTACAGGATGCCTCTTCTCTTTCTATCCTTCCACTTTTCCACACTGTTCATACTATCATATGTTCTCTCCATGGACCAGCCGTTCAGACGTTTTGTTTTTCTCTTTTCTTTTCTCCGTGGTTTGGCTTTCTGTTAATAGAATCTACTTTATTAGAATCTGTTCTGTAGTTGCAGCCGACACGTTGCCAGTAAATCTATTTGTGCACTGTCGTAACTATTTATTTATTTAGTTGATTTGTTGAAWTTTTTTTGTACATTCTTTTCTACCAGCATGACAATATAACAAACAAGAAGACTTGTTTTATTCATACTCTTACAGGAAAAAAAAGCATGTCATATAAAAGGTCTAGCTTGTCTTSGTTGAACACAGATCACTCGTCATGCCAAAGTTTTGGACTAAGATCATCTTGTGCTGAGAAATGGTTGTAGATATTTGTGGTCAAACCTTGAAAACAACATTACGCACAATGTCATGCAACATCTTACAGGTTCTTGTTTGAACTCAAGTTGTTTGTGTCTGTGGACCCCTTACAACTGCGAAAAAAATTCCAGGGACCCCGTCATAAACCCCATGCTGTTTTAAAAGATAATATATTGTCATTTCAACCCCTAAATGC